AGGAAGTATTATTGTTGTTGAAGGCGACCGTGTGGTATGGTAACTAAAGCTGTAGTTGAGATCCATCCACTTTAAATAGGAGCACTAATATTTCTTTCAGTAATATTTCTTTGTAAAGTGCTTTGAGATTCATGGAGGAAACAGAACTGTAGAGCACGGTTGCATGACATGTTTGCTTTGCAATTATTGACACAGCACAAAGAGTTTTATGCTCTCATAATAAGGTACAAAGAAAGAATGAGTACAAAAGTATTTTTTTTTTTAAGTAGGACTGTTTCTGAAGAGTCCCATCACTGTTCCTCATACATTCATTGCTAACCTGTCCCCTTCCCTCTGATAATAAGATAATTCCATTTGAAACTGCCCAGAGTGCTCAATAATCAGTGGTGGTCAGCTGGTCAGGAATTTAGGGCTGAAATATTCCATTTCCTCTCTACTGGCTCGAGTTCATTCACCTGAAGTATTTTTGTTTGCTTTGCCAAAAGGAAGACACTGCTGGACGTTGTAATGGGCACAGACGCATGCGCAGATACGAAGGCGACAGCAGCTTTTGTGCATTTCTAACACCACAGGGATAACCCAGACTGAGAGCCCGGCGGGTCAGAACCCAAGTTCATCTCCATGTGTGGCCAGCTTCTGAAACTGTCTGACAAGTCTTTTAAAATATGAAGTTGGTCAAAATGCAGGAAGGGAGTAAGTAAAAGATAACTTTCTCCATGAGCATCTCATCCCATAAATGACTGGTTATAGGTTTGTGAGTAATTAATTTTGATTCTCCTTAGTCTTCTGGCTACCTTCTTACCCTGATTAAAGCAAGAAACCTCTTGCCAGTTACTTATGCTGATGTCAGAGCTCGTATGTCATGCTTTGTGTTGGATGCTGATGGGCAATTGCTCCCTACCTCCCTTTCAGCTCTGCAGTTTCCATATCCCCAGGGAAGTCTGTTTCCAGTAACACTGAAGTTTGGAGAGTGGTAGGTCAATGGGAAGCAATGACACTCACAGTGCTTTCTGGAGAACTTGAAGGAAATTGCTATCTGTGGCTATCATGTGTCTTTTGACTTTCTAAGAAACTGCCGATGTGTTTTTCCAGGATAGAGTGAACTGGTAAATGAAACTCTGTTGCCCTAAATATGTCCTACTGAGGAAAGAGCTGGAGGGTTAGTTTCTTTCTTAATTTCCTAGTCAACACTATATGGGTTTTCCTATTCCATATAAGTAATTTAGAACAGCAGAATCCCATATGCCCTTTGGAGAAGCATTTTAGTATTAATATTCCTAGGCCATTTCTGTGTCTTGAACTGTACTTTGAGATATTCATCACACGTTTTGTTTCAAAACGAAAGATATGCTCCTGTGTGGCATATTCCACTAGCAATGAACTTTTCTTGACTAGGCTGGCAGGGCTGGATGGAGGATGAACAAAGCAATGGCGTAGATTGCAGTTTTTCTTCCTCAAGTTGGATAGGAGCTTTCTTTTCTTCTGGCCTGACTGAGATAATCCTGATTTCTGTTCCAGCCTGTGCTAGTGACCAACAGGCACAGAAAGACAGTCTGGTACCTAGTGACTGGCAGACTGCAGGGAGGCATTAATCATTTTTCTTTGTTTCTCACTGCTCCATAGGGATGGCAGCGAGGAAAACATGTGACATGACTTACTGCGATAGATCTAAACTCCCTCTAAACAAGCTTTTATTTGTTTGTTTTACTCTCGTGCAGACTTCATGGTTAGTTACCACTGGAGTGGTGTCTAGAAGTTAATTGTTTTTTATTCAAAGCTACTTTATTGTGCTGCAAGAGTGTCTGTTATATTCAAAGATCATGCCATTCGTAAGCTGTCTAAGACAGACTAGCATACTACAGGATATCCTGTTCCAGGGAAGTTTGTGTTTTACAGTTCAGTTCAATAAGCCAAGCTTCAACCCTTTTTATAAGAATATTCATAATGGTACTGACTGCAAATACACACCAGGGAAAACTTCCACACTAATGATTGTTCTGTACGTAATACCGTGGAAATAATACTTTCTCTCTAGGTTAGCGGCAAGATGTAATGACTTATTTGCTGTCACTTTCCTTTGAAAGTTGACATGCTGTCTGATGGTGGTTGACACCAGTATCTAAGGTAAGTGTCGCTCTATTTCTTTGCCGTTTAATACTTCCTCAATACAAATTTTTCCAAAAATAGAGATTAGATTCAAACTGTTGCTTGCCCTCTGTCTTCTGGGAGTCCACTGAAATCAACAGTTCCAGAGAGAGCTGGAGGGCAGGAGTTTGCCTGGAGTCATGATCTGCCTTAAAATACTGCTCGTTGCTGCTAGTCAGCATCAGTAAAGTCTGCAGCTGAACTAGCTCTGCATTTGATATAACTGCTACAGTATATTTGATATAACTGCTACAGTAGACTATGACAAATTTTTCCAGAAAGAGTGGTTAAAACATGCTCCTGTGGGTTTAATGGCTGCATGGTGTAATCCAGCCCTTGGCAATCTGCTGTTCTACCAGTATTTTTCCAGCTGGCAGTTCTTATATAGATTTGTTCCAGCTCTGAACAGAGGTGAACAGAGACAGAAAATATTATATTGCATGCATATCTCTAAATCTGAAAAGGTAATTCTGCTGGATTAACAGATAGCCTGATGCAGAAAAAGATAGTACATTTTTCTGTAATGTTCTAGTTGATAGTGAAACAGAAGCGGCAGAACCACTCTGTGGAGTTAATGTTCTTTACAAGCCCATTACATTTGACAGAAATTGCAAAAAAAAAAAATTTCTGATATTAGATTGCAAAATACAGTCTTAAATATTTAGTACCCCAGAAATCTTGCTACAGTCAGATACATGCCGATTGTGGAAATGAAACGACTGATGCACGGCATAAGGGCCATGGTTTACGTGTTCAGCTAACAGACAATTGCTTATGCATGCACATAGCATTTGAGTCTGCTTTGCAAAAGCTAGAAGCAGGAACTGAAAAAGCAGACAGCCTGTATTCTCTATTTATATGACCTTTTAAGACTGAGTGCTTGGAAATCTTGAAAAGCTGCAGCCTGGAATCCCAGGTATGCCTCTTTTTGTGTCATTGCTGTGTTTGAAAATATTAGCTACCAGGCTGCGTGAGAGGCTGGGATGTTTCATGCCCAGACATAATGTAATTTTCTCATTACAGTTTAATCTCTGTGTGTGTACTACAATTTTATAAACTGACTTGCTTCTGATCAAATTGCAACCTATTTTTTGTTTCTTGAAAAAAAAATCATTGTGTAATCTGAAGTATTTTTAAAAAGTTTGCAAAGCCTCTTGCAAGTAACTGCAGAGCCACTACTGCAGGGAAGCAACTATCATTACTAGCTTTGTATCACTCACTGAATGGAACTGCTCCTAGGGGTAAAATTAAGCACTTATGTAGGTGCCTGTAGGAGCTAAGTCAAATATTTGAGATTATACGTTTGGTTTAAATGAAAGCTGGGTGAATAAACTGTAATAACTTAGGAAGTTAATTTGCTTCCTGTGGCTTGTAAGCAAGAGCACAGGTATTTTGCAGTTCTTGATTACTAATCGTTGCTGTCAGTTTGGAGGAGGCCGACGGTCTGCAAGGATGCTGTTAAACCTGGAAGATGTGATGTATATGGGGGTGCCCTCGTGGCCCAGCCTGTGCCAGGGGCCCGCATAACACCACCTGCTCAGCTCAGGATGTGAGTGTGCAGTGTGTGCAGGGATCCACAGTGCAAAACTGTCTGCAGGGTGCTTGCCCATGACTGGTCGTGTTAAAGATCGTGACCATCAGTCCCCAAGTGCGGGGGCTAAGGAGGAAGATGAATATCTGCAGATTAAACAGTATGCAGGGAACTGCGAGGAGACTTTGGAAACAAAGAAGGAGTCAGCTTGAAAAGAAGTCTAAAAGAAGCGTGAAAATTTACAGCTGGTGGATGAGACTTTAGGGGGGGAAACAGCAGCTAAAACAGCCCAACTGGAAGGGTATTTTAGAAATTTGCAAGTGTTTATTTACATTTCTTAAGTGTTTAATATCAGGGTGTATCTTCTGTATTACTGATAGGGATGCTGAATGTACAGCTCAGTGATTTCTGGTTAACTACATATCATTAATAACTCTATAAATCACTTTGATCCTGATTTTGGTTCAAATTATTTCAACTGATTAGTTTTTCCCCACAAAAAGATGAACTTGTTTCTGATCACCAGATGGCATAGCATGGTTTGCATTTGATTGAAAAAGCAAAACCTCTTAATCACTTGCCCTGTGTAGTACTTCTCAGATCAAATTTAAATTCATTTTATGTAGTAATTACTTAAATTTATGATCAAAACCTGCCCACTCGCAGATAAAGAAGGCCAAGAATAACAAAACTAACTTTTTCCTCCCAAAATATATGGCTCCATTCTCCCACTGTTCACAAGCAAAAACTACTCAATAAAGAGCAATGTAGTCGACAGACAAAGTGAGAAACAAACAAGATGATAGATTTTCTCATGAATCAAAAAAATCCTCAGGGTTTATTAGTGAGATTTTAAAAATGAACACTGACTTTAAATATCTGTGCACTACATCTTCAAAACATCCTGTGAACTCATTATTGGTGCTTTCTAGAACGCACAGTGTATTGAAGAACAAAATCACTTTTGAAAAGATTTTGTGAATGTCAGTGTTGAAGATCCTTTCTATTCCTGCATTCACCTCAAATATTTCACATCAGCAATACTTGAATAGAAATAATGCAGGAAACTAATAAAACTCTATTAAAAACTTTTCAGGGTATATTACTTAAGCTGTGAATCAGATGAGGAACTTGTCTAAACAGATTAATTTCAACGGAACATACTTTGTACAAAGTCATTATGATTTACACACATCTTAAAACAGCCAGAGTACTTTTGTTCTTTGAAAGGCTCTATTAGAAGTAAAAATCTGTAGAGACAAGTTGGTAACTAGCCTGATTAGTGCCCAGGGCATTGCAAACACTGCTGACTGCTGTTACTGACCTTTGAATTCCACCCGTTCCCGCGTTGACTGGTGAAGTACATAGCCTCTCCTCAAAACCTCTTGTCTGAAAGGAGAAAGTGCTTGCTTTCTTCTTCTTTTGATGGAGCCTTGGATGATTCAAACCTCAGACATTTTAAGAAAATAAAAATGTTTGAATGCCTTATGAATGAGTCACAGTGTAATTTTGGATCTGTCTGTTGGCACTACAAAGTATCCATTGTAACGAAAGGATTTCCTGATCTTGAAAATGCTACTGAACCATTGGCTTATAAAAGCAAACTTTTTTGCAAAATCTCTACCATTAAAAACACCTTTTTAAGCTTTCCATTCGAGATGTGGCTTGTTTTTCTGTCAAGCACTCTCAGGAGAATTTACTCTGTGTTTTCGTTATTGTAAGTTCCTATTGTCAGATGGTTTAGTAGACAGAAATAAGCAACAATTAACTTTTCATGGAGGGCAGGCAGCATGATTTGGAACCCGTGACCTGGGGACTGTTACTCCAACCCTTTCGAATTTCTGACTTAATACAGCCTACATTTCTTTTCAAATAGGTCTTATTTAAACTCTAGGATTTTATTTCTATGATAGTGTACAATGCCTAGCTTTTTTTAAAAAAAAGTAGAATGCTGACTTATAAACAAATGAAATGTGAAGGTAGTAAGAAATTCCAACCATAACCAAGCAAATAAAACAAAAATTCATAAAAAGTTGCTCATATATTCTAACGTAAATGGACAAAAGTCAGGAAACTGGATATTCCTTTTCCTAAAATTGCCCAAAGGCCACCCAGTGTCACGCTTTAAGTTGGCACTCTATTTTTACACTTAAGAACGTCTATATTTGCATGTGTGTATGTATTCTAACATTCAGAAGTCTGTCCTTTCAAACTTTAGGATTGGATAATTTCAAAAATGCCATTCTAGTTGTCTGTTGCCCATTCTCAAGATGAATTTCAGAAAAAATCAGAAAAGAATTCTACAATGGTGGGAAACATCTTACAAATATTCTTATTCATAAACAAATTGAGCAGTCCTCCACTGAGATACAGAGGTAGGTTTTCAGCTTTTCTTCTCCACCATAAAAATCACGAGTGTCTTTCCAGATGAAAACTGAAGTCTACCCCACCCCTTAGTTTTCTGCTTCAAGAGCTATTGAAGCCAATGTGCAATGTTTGCATAACATTTGAAACGTTAGTTAGGTGTTATTTCTTGAAGTGATTAGCTGAAACTCATGCTATTATCTGTATTTTTTTTTCCTTGATACTCTATGGCTACTTACTAACAAATATTTGCATTTTTAAAAAATTCTAACATTCACCCTTATACATTTAACATCAGATAATTACTTGATTTACTTGTGATATAGAAAATCAGCCTCTCATGGTCTGAATCTGGACCTGCATGCATAGGTGCTAACAGAAATTTGCTAACTCTTTGCAGTAGCTGAGCTAGCTGGACATTGCTTGCTGAATAAAGAAAATACTGGGCAATGCTTTGGGAACTTTGAAAAGTCATTTCAGACAGTCATGCTTATAATCTATCCACATATTGTGTCTAAGTATGTCCTAGTTGGGCTTATTTCCAAATTCTAGCCTATTTGCAAACTAGTAGTTTTGTGACCTTCATAGCTTACTACGTACACTTGGTTCAGTGAGTGTCTTCATAGGCTACTTTACCTTTTGAAATACATAAGACACTGATTAGGTTGAGTTATGTTTCTTTTGACTTTTTTAGACGTTAAAAAGCCTGTGTCATGAGATCAAGATTTTTAATAAGGACAATGTTGTCATTTCATCGTAGAACTATCTGGTGAAGAGAGAGAGAGAAGGGGAGAAATGTGTTTTTTCATGCTCGTTGCTGACACAAATTCAGTATATATTACATTCATCCATGAAAAGACTTCAAGCACAAATATTACCTCTCTTTCCTACATCAAAGGAAGAATATTCAAGCCAAAGCCATGACATGTTTTTCTTCAAATCAATGAAAACATGATACAAAAGTATTTCATCTTTTTCCTCTCCAAATAACTGTAATTCTGAGTATTAAGGGTGTGGAGGAATCAAAGCAATCCTTCAGAAGACAGGATTTTTTTAGCAAGGGCTAAAGGGAAAAGAAACGTGACTTTTATCCAAGCTCAATGAAATTCTAAACCTAAAGCAACCTTGTATTTACTTAATCTCTTCTCGACATTCCTAACAGTGCTACCAGCTTCAGAGGCAGACTGGACTGGTCTTTGTTAAAGAAGCAAACAAACACCCCCACACCAAATGAGAGCCCAGACCTCGGCATCCACCAGCACCATTCAGCGCGACTGGTTGGCATAAACTGGACGAACAGCCATGCTCAACAGGCTGGTGGTACAGAGCATTCCCCAGCACCAGTAAGATTTGCTGAGGACCCCTTCTCTCAGCTTGTACCTGCTTTGGCTGTAAAGGCATGATCTCACCCAAGATCATCCTGTATCCCAGGAGCACTTTGCAGACATGCTGAGCATATGAAACCTGAAAACAATCTGGCCTTCATTCTGCATCCTCCCTTGAGAATCACAGAATCATAGAACGGTTGAGGTTGGAAGGGACCTCTGGAGATCATCTAGTCCAACTTCCCTGCTCAAGCAGGGTCACCTAGAGCATATTTCCCAGGATCACATCCAGACGGCTTTTGAATATCTCCAGCGAAGGAGACTCCACTGCCTCTCTGGGCAACCTGTTCCAGTGCTCTGTCACCCTCACAGTCAGGAAGTTTTTCCTCAGGTCCAGATGGAACTTCCTGGCTTCCAGTTTCTGCCCGTTACCTCTTGTCCTGTTGCTGGGCACCACGGAGAAGAGTCTGGCCCCATCCTCTCGACACCCCCCCTTCAGATACTTGTACACATTGATGAGATCGCCTCTCAGTCTTCTCTTCTCCAGGCTGAACAGGCCCAGCTCTCTCAGCCTTCCTTCATAGCAGAGATGCTCCAGTCCCCCATCATCTTAGTAGCCCTCCGCTGGACTCTCTCCAGTAGCGCCATGTCTCTCTTGTACTGGGGAGCCCAGAACTGGACACAGCACTCCAGGTGGCACATTGCTGGTTCATGGTCAACTTGTTGTCCATCAGCACCCCCAGGGCCTTCTCTGCAGAGCTGCTTTCCAGCAAGTCAACCCCACCCAATAACTCTGCCTTCTCTGTATCCTTCATCACCAGGGCACCCACTCTATTTAGCAGCAGGCCCACATTTTCCCTAGCCTTCCTTTTGCTACTGACGTATTTGAAGAAGCCCTTCTTGTTGTCCTAGACATCCCCTGTCAGATTTAATTCCAAATGGGCCTTAGCTTTTGTCGTCGCATCCCTGCATACTCTGACAACTTTCCTATATTCCTCCCAAGTGGCCTGTCTCCTTTTCCTTCTTCTGTTTGAGTTTTGCCAGGAGTTCCTTGCTCATCCATGCAGGTCTCCTGCCTGCTTTGCTTGACTTCTTACTCCCAGAGATGCACTGATCTTGAGCTTTGAGGAAGTGATGCTTGAATATTAACCAGCTTTCTTGGACCCCTCTTCCTTCTAGGGCCCTAACCCATGGGATTCCTCCAAGCAGATCACTGAAGAGACCAAAGTTTGCTCTCCTGAAGCCCAGGGTTGAGATCCTATTTATTGCCCCTGGAAGGGGCAGAAGATACCCAGTGAAAGCATACTGAGAGAGCCAGGTAGTCTGGTAGCCTTCAGAAGGTGACTGCTTGTCCATGCCCTGTGGAGGCTGGTGGTTTCAGTACAGTTGTGCCCCAATAGGCAGGTTTTTCATGCAGTCCGCCAGGTTCAGTGAACATCCCTGTTTTAACGGACCTGAGAAAGATAAGCTCACGTTCCTAGTTCTCACGTTATGTTATTTTATGATACTCTTTCCACTGAAATCAGCAGGGAACCTTGATAGTTTGTTATAACCACATGTGTACGGGGGATAGGGAAAAAGGTTATTCAGCTAACACAGGAATCTGAGTGCAGATTCCAATCGTTGAGCGTAAAGCTATGGGTTTATTGTGACCTGTGGAGGAACGCTGCTGCAAAATATGAGGCAACGTAGGCTTTTTGTGTGTCAAAAATGAAATGTCAAATTTGAATGATACATTATTTGGGCAGTTTAATGAAGAGAAACAAGAGAGCTCAGCTGTTTGCAGTGCGTGTGCAGTGGGGCTCAGCAGGTATGTGACACCCGGACTTTCCACTTGGCTGAGGAGCATTCCAAAGGCGGCGAGATTCCTCTAGCGTTATTTTAAAAAATGTCAATGCACATTGTTCAGGTATAACATTACCGAACAACATGTACAGTATCTTGTGCCTGTAAAAGTCAGAACAACAGTATGAACTACGGGGCAAGTGTTATGTAGAGCTTGTATTTCCTGGCCGTATTTATATTGGCAATGCTGTTTGGAATCTAGTGTGATTTAGTCAGTGTTTACCCTTCCGTGTATAAAAGAAGCAGACAGTAGATTTGTTTTCAGTGAAGGTGGAATATTCTATTTCACACTCTGGCTTTTTGAATAGTATTATTTTCCTTGTTTGATTTTTTCTTTAACATCGTGTTTTAGTAATTTTCCTTTACCACTTTTTTTCTGAACTTTTCTTTTCTGCATTTTTTTCCACTTCATACTTTTACTGAAGTTTCACTTACTTTTGGCCATTTCGGTTTGCCCTCCTTACCTTGCTCTTAGTATTTTTTTGTTGTTAATTATTATAACGTTTGGACAAAGTTAGCTATGTTTTTTGTTCACATAAAGACTACCTTTCTCTGTTGTATTTCTGATTCAGTTGTACATAATTAGCTATCTGAAGCTTACACAGATGAATACTGGAAAGAAAAATGAATGGCTATAATTTGAAATTAATTTTTTATTTTGCATTCATTTTTCATAGTATTTCTCAGTTACAGCTGTTTGTTATGCTAACGACAAAAGTACAGATATCTTTTCTTCTCAGGCTGATCTGAAGGAACGGGAACAAGATGCTGGATCAGCTGTTGTCAGTAGGTATTTCAAATTCTTAATTACAGGTCTGAAAATACTTCCTCCATTTCAGAATTTTTTACTCTTTAATTAATGAACAGAGGCTAACTGATGTATGCAGACCCTTTCTCCATTTAGAATA